GTGAGCAGCAGCGTGTAGAAGCCCAGGCCCTTCCCAACCAACCAGCCGATGTCCCCCCCTGAGAGAGCAGCCTGAGAAGGAGGGGTGGATGAGCAGAGGAGGGAGGGCACCGCCAGTGCCCAGAAAGGCCACTACCTCCTCCTCTGAGGCTATCAGGGACTTGAGGGCCTGGTCCATGGTTCGAAGTTCTTCCTCCAGCTGCCTGGCTCGACTGGGGGCAGCGGGCAGGCGTCAGAGGACTGGGCCTGGCCCCTGGCCCTGAGCCTGGGCACCTGCCTCCCCAGCAGCCATCCAAGCAAGCTCCCCTTACCTCTCAGCCACCTCAGCCCTCTCCTCTGAGCGCTCCAACTCTCCCTCCAGGATCACCAGCTTCCTGGCCACCTGCGGGGCGGGGACAGCAGAAGCAGCTCAGAGGGGACCCAGCAGGACATCCTGGGGTGCAGGCGGGAGAAGGGAGCAGTGGGGCAGGGCCATCACCTCCTCGTATTTCCGGTCGGAATCCTCGGCGATGTGCTTGGCCTCCTTCAGCTGCATCTCCTGCAATTCCATCTTTTCCTCATCCTTCATGGCCCGGTTTTCAATGACCTTCATCCCTCTGAAGAGGGAGAGGGGGTAGGTGGGGTCAGGGCAAGCAGAGACAGGCCCTCCCTCCGGCGGCCAGCTCCCAGGGCCTGCCCTGCCCACCTCTCACTCTCGTCAGCGGCCTTCTCCGCCTCCTCCAGCTTCTGCAGGGCCGTGGCCAGACGCTCCTGTGCCCGGTCCAGCTCCTCCTCCACCAGCTGGATGCGGCGGTTCAGGGAGGCCACGTCTGCCTCGGCCTGCGGGTCAAAAGTCAGAGGTCAGACAGGCTTTGTCTTGGAAGAGGTTCCGGGGGGCTCCAGAGGATGCCGAGAGTATCGCCAGAAAGAACCTAGCCTTCCTGGCTTCCGGACTTTCAACCTGTATTCTTCTCCCAACTTACCATCTGCCCAGATTCTGGGTCCCAGGCACCCCGGGCCTCTTCCAACACCGTGCATAGTTAGTCTCCTGAGGAATGAGAGTCACTGCAGGCTGCTCCCCCCGCCCCCCTCAGTTTCCCCTGATTCCTCCACTGCAAGGCCTGCTCCAGGTAAGGTGGTGGATGATTAGGCTGACCACACCCCACTGCTGCTAAAGATAGCCAATCGCTGAATCAAGTGGCATGATGTCACTTGCTGCCAAGGGGACTCAGCGATGGGCCTGGGAGGCAAGCCCAGCCTGTGTGGAACATCCAGGGCTTATTGCACAGCTTGCTAGCCAAGGCTGGGCGGCAGCGGGGGGCAGGACAGTATGAGTGACAGATACAGGTATACCTCCGATCTATGGCGGGCTCCGCTTGAGACTTAAGAATGAATCTCTCACTTTTTTGTTTGTCTGTCTGTTTCCCAGTGTAATTAAAAGTCATCTAGGCTAAAACATTGTTTGAATAAAAAATACAACAAAATAAAAGTCATCCGGGCTGCTAACCAGAAGGTCAGCAGTTCGAAGCCACCAGTGGCTCCACAGGAGAAAGACAGGGCTTTCCAGTCTCATCAAGAGTTGCGTCTTGGAAGCTCACAGAGGTCGTTCTGCCCTGTGCTCGGAGTCTGTAGCAGCTCAATGGCAGTGAGTTTGGTTTGGTTTGATCCTCTGTTCAAGGAGCCCGGTTGGCACTGCTGGGTAACCCCTGGACTGGTAAACCCCACGGTTGGCAGTTCAAACCCCCCAGCCCTTCTGGGGGGCATAGTTGAGACTGTCAGCTCCCATAAAGAACTCCAGCCTCAGAAACCATCTATCGGGCTCTTGTGAGTCAGCATTCGCTGTGAGTGGGTAGGTAGTTTGCAGCGTGTGTAAGAGCATTATGGGAAATTTTGAGATACTATGAGAATTACCAACATGTGTGTGACCCAGAAACATGAAGTGAGCATGCACTGTTGGAAAATGGCATCCGCGGCCTCGCTCTGTGAAGGGCTGCCACAGACCTTCAACTTGTGCGAAGGTCTTTTTGGAAAGCACTACCTGCAAAGCACAATGAGAGAAGTCTACCTGTCCTCAGTCTCACGGAGGGTTTGGAGAAGGCCCATGCGATGCCAGGGCTCGAGGGGGCAGAGTTGCCAACACAGGCCAGCGAGCGAAGCAGGGAGGTCTGGCGTGAAGAGCGCTGGCTCTGAGTCCGAGCGCTGTCTTTGAGCCACGGCTCAGCCACTCAACACTTGTGTGACCTTGGACAACTTAGTTAGCCTCTCTAAGCCTCAGTTTCCTCCTCTAGAAATTGGAGTTGACGATAATATTTCCTCCTTCAGAAGGCTGTTTGGAGATCATACAGTACACTTCGAAGAGCTGATTACTCGGCGGGACCATTTGGGAGGTTTAGCAAACCAAACCAGTTCTCCAGCTCCACAGGAGACCCACCGAGCGGGGATCTCCAGCGTGGGGGCTTTCTGTAGAGCTCCCAAGGACTTCTAATGAGGATTCAGGAAGCGCGTGAAGTGACTTACAGGGTCCCTGGTGGCATGGTGGTTGAGTGCTCAGTTGCAACCTGAAAGGTCATCGTTCAGAATCCACGAGCCACTGTGTGGGAGGAAGGAGTGACAGTCTACTTCCCTAAAGATTGACAGCCTTGGAAACTCTCTCGGGTCACTGTACTCTGTCCTACAGGGTCGCTATGACGTGGCAGCACTGAAGCTTTGGGGGGGAAACAACACACAGAAGCACTCGAACATGCTGCCCACGGTGCCAGCACTCCCTGACTCACTCACACACAGAGAGCAGGAACCCTGAGATGAAAGAATGAAGAGAAAAGACCAGGGTGGGGGGTATAGAAGCCAATAAAGAAGGAGCGAGGAGAGGGGAAGGAGGGCCCTGATGGCATAGTGGTTACAAATTGGGCTGCTAACCTCAAGGTCAGCAGTTTGAAACCACCAGCTTCTCCGAGAGAGAAAGATGAGGTTTTCTATTCCCATCAAGACCGTAAAGAGAGTTACAGTCTTAGAAAGCCCGTGGGGGCAATCCTGTCCTGTCCTCTCAGGTCCCTAGGGGCTGGAATGGACTTGACGGCTATGCATTTGGCTTGGTTTTTGAGAAGGAAAAAGATGGCACTGTCAGGTAGCAGTGCCAGGGGCTAACAGGCTGGAAAGCAGTTCCTGGGTGGCCCTGCAGGACAGGGAGAGATCAGTACCCTACATAGACTGTGGAGCGGAGCTGGCCCTGTAGGTGCTGAGCACACCTGGAGCTTGGCCACCTAAAATGACAAGAGCCCATCACAGGCACAGGGCCGAGTGACTCAGTGTGGAGAGAGTCTGCAGACAGCACTGGGGGGTGGGAAGAATGGCTAGGGACACTGGGGTCTCCTCTAGAAGGAGATGAGACTCTGTAAGTGGAAAACCCTCTTCTTGGTTGGGGGTGTATACGTGTGATGAAATGACTCGTCTGGGAAGTCCTGGGGTCCCATCACAGACTGGCACTCTGTACTGTGTTCAAGGTCACACAGTGAGTTTGGGCAATGCTTTCTGTCGGCTCCTGGCACTGCTGCCCTGTCTCTCTGCTCTGTCCCTGTTCACCCCTCCTCCCCTCCTGCCCCCACCAAACTCCTTGGGTTTCCAGTCCTGCCTCCAGCTGCACTGGGCCGTGGTTATTTATAGTGCATCAGATGCCCAGGGTCGTCTTGCCTAGCAGCTGCAGGTCAGGCCCCTCCCAAGTGCCAGGGCTGGTGGAGAACCCAAGCCCAAGGCTGCAGGTCAGAGAGACCCAATTGGGGGGGAGGGGGGAAGGGTGCATCATGGAGAAGAGGTAACACAGATGCTGACATCATTTCTGATGTTCAGACCAGGCTTTATGCTACACCACCCCCATCCCATACACCCCCAACCATAGGCTCATCTGAATTGAAAACAACTATGGCAGGGACTGGTGAAACTACACGTCCCTATAGCCATTCTCCTACCTCAAAGTGGGGGCTGGGGAATGGCAGGGAGGACTGCAGATGTCTGGTTGGGTTGGGGGTGGGAGGTGGGCAGAGAAATTTCAGAGTGGGTAGGAACTGCCAAGGTGGCCGGCCGTGGCATTTGGCCCTGTCCCTCTGCCTGGTGGCCTGGCACGGTCTTGAGGCTAACAGCTTAATGAGGGTAAATGAGGAGCCATTAGAACTTGAGCTGGGGCCCCAGTGCACAGCAGGGTTGTTGGAGCCAAAGGTCAAGGCCAGGGAATTTCTAAAGGCCCCTCAGGAGTTTAACTGAAGCCAGCGTCTGATCCTGTTCCTATCTACCAACACCTCACAGCCATGGTCCCCAGGAACCTCACTGGCACCACGGCTTCCGTTTCCTTTCCATTTTCTGCTGGAGGACTAACAGGTAGCTGGTACTTTCTTATGCCATTTGCCCCCAAGATGACTCGTTTGCCCACTGGGCATTCTGAGAGTTCAAATCTAAGAGAAGTCTTCTGAGGAAAGTGGTGGGTCGTTTTCATTTAGGCTGCTGTTAGGGGATTATCTGGTGCCACCTTGCCCTGGGAGGAAATTATTTCTGCCTGGGTGCTGGGAAGACCTGGTCCCCTGACCCCCATCCAACGCTTGGAGCCCCTAACGCATCCCATGCACGATTTCCTGCCGCGGAACCCCAGCCCTCACTCACATCGGTGGCTTTCTTCTCAGCCTGCTCCAGCTTCTCCTGGGCATCCTTCACAGACTCGGAGTATTTTTCCACCTCATCTTCCGTCCCCTTCAGCTTCTTCTGTAGGCCCTGTTGTTCTTCCTCCAACTGGGACAGAAGGGCTGCGGTCAGCCGGGCTGGGCAGGGGTGCCCAGGCCCAGAAGGTAGACAGGGGTGAGGGTATGGGGAAGAGGGAGGGGGCAGTTCAGTCAGGGGTGTAAGGAGGAGCTGGACCACGGGGAAAACCTCAAGGCCAAGGAGCAGGGCCCATCACTGCCCTATGTGGGCAGAGGTGGGCTGCCCCCCCCCCTCCCCAGGCTCTGGTGGGTGAGATGATGGGTGGTCTGGTAAAGGACCAGGTGTCCAACCCGTGGACAGAAAAGCCTTGACAAGAGTCTTGGAGCTGGTGGACACGGGGCAGGGGGCCACTCTGTCCACCGTGGGCAGGGAAGGGGCTTCCTTGGGCCCCCACCTGCTTGCAACGGTCCTCAGCTTGCTTCTTGTCGGCCTCGGCCTGCTCAGCTCGGTCGATGGCGTTCTCCTTGTCCAGTTTGAGCATCTGCATCTTCTTCTTGATGGCGTCCATGGCTGCGAGGAGGGGGCGGGCCGGGGGCGCTGTGGACCGGGCTGATGGGGCTGGAGACGACCGGGCGCACGGACCGTGGGAGAGGAAGGCCGGCGGGACTGGGATGTCCACGCAGAGCGGGCGCCTAAAAGGCAGGGAGGGACCGGGCGGAGCCGGGGGCCGGGACCCTCCCCCGCCGCCGCGCAAACCTTGTAGGGGCAGAAGCACAGCCAGGCTGGGGGGCGCGGCCACCCCCTGCGCCCACCCCCTTCGGGCCCGCCTCCCTCTCGGGGCCCGCCCCCAGCCGTCGGAAGGGAAAGTGGGGGCCTGGGGAGGCTCGGGCACTGCCGAGGAGAGGGGGCCCTCGGGCTGGGGGCTCGACGCTGTTTCTGAGTGACAGCTGAGGCCGGCTGGCAGCTGCGCTGGGGCCCCTGGGGCTATTTCGGGGCGTGAGCTCACGGCAGCTGCCCCGGCGTAGGGACTGGTGTCCCACCACCCCCACCAGCTGCGGCAGCCGCTGCCCTTAATTTAGAAATTTCTTGTAAATCCCCTCCGGATTAAATGTCTCTGCGGAGGCAGAGCGCCTCTGCAGGTCAAGAGCCTCAGTTTACCCGGAGTTTCAGCCCCTAGGTTGGCGTTAACCTCGGTGGTGGCATGGAGACGCGGGGAAACTGAGGCAGGGAGCGAGTCGGCCCTCTGATTTGCTCTGAGGGGGGAACCCCCACCTCCCACCCCAGTCCCTGGCGCCCTG